GGCCACAATCAAGAGATAGCTGAAAGTATGCGTTTGGAGATGGAATACAATTCCGTTCGTGCATGGTTCTAGAACTTATTACAAATGACAGGCTATCCATTCCTAAGAAACTACACTAACATTCTAGCTCAAATCATCGGATGTTTCATGAAGTATCAAGTGGTGGGTAATGGCGTAACGCTATGGTTCTGAACTCCTCTTTCCTGTTTCTTTCCTATGGGCTCCTTGTGCTTTTGATTTTTAACCAATCTGAAGAAGCGGACCAAGATTATCACATGGAAACATAATTAGAATGGAAGCATAAAAGAGTAGTTATGCATCATGTTTTATGCTAAATGGTTTCAGCTCTGGCATTCATGTCAAGTAGATGTTTTGATAAGCTTAGCATGCTATCTATTCAACTGAAAGTTGGAAGCGAAGTTGCGGCCTTTTTAATATTTGACTTTGTTGTTTTCATTTCTGCAGCCTTTCTTATCTTTTTTTCTTTTTAGCTTGAAATAGAATGCACCAAATATTTTTCTCTATCATTTAAAGCTTCTAATGATCTTGTCTTGTATAAACTATTGATGCAGCAGTCACAAAGAGAGAGGAAGAAGCAGAAAGAAGAGCCTGAGAGTTGGGACAACATATATTAAAAGTTATTGTAATCATTCATATGTGTTTTAAAAACCTTGAGTTTGACGATGTGTTGTCTGATAACTCCTCCTGTGTTGTCCATTACGAATCTTTTACTTTCTGTTTATTACATTCACAAAATGGACATAGTCTTTGACTGAAATGAATGCCAAAACTCATGCTCACCTTCACTTGTGTATGTTGGCAATTTGGTTAGGAAAAATTAGTATACAATATTTCATCCTTAAAATGATCCATATGTAACGCATGTGATCAACTAGTTTGCCTAAAAGAAAATCTTGTCGGTTCTTAAATTGAAAGACGAAAGCTATTTACCAATCAAAAAGGAAAAAAATAACAATAATACTATTTGAACATAATTTACTAACATAATTTATCGTCTTAATTCATCATGATTATTAGATTGATATTAAATTCTAACAAATACTAGGCAGTTGTCAATCTCATTATTATGAATGTTTAGGATAATAAATTAAGTCAACAAATTAGGTCCAAGTAACATTTCTCAAAAATTAAAGACTTAGGGTCAGACCATGAGGTATTTATCTCTTATGAATACTCTAGTCCTGGCGTGAATATCTTGTTTTTGATCGGATTAGGGAGAGAGTTAATCGAGATGTGCTCAAGCTAGTTTAGACACCGCCAACGGTTAAATCCAAAAAAAAAAAATTAAAACTTGATAAAACAAGGAAATCAGTAGCAAAAAACGAGAATTCAAGTTCAAAAACTCGGGAAAAATGCCTAGAAGATACAAAAATAGAGAATAAAAACTTAGCCAAGTTTGAAAATCAAACCTTTGAACAAGTTGGTTCCGTAGTCGTGGAATCGAAAACAGATTTTGATAACTTTGTTTTTGTTTTGATTTCTCTTTATTTCACAGTTGGGTAGATAAATAAGAAGTTTTTGTTCCATAGATATATATGAGACGATTGTCCAAGTTGAATCTGGTAAGGATTAACCTTAATTCCCTAATTTGACCTTCCAATCCTATTCCACACCACACCCACAAGTATAGTAGGTTGATAATTCCAAAACATGTTTCTAATTATGCTTACGTGTAGAATCCTGAATGGGAAAGGAGTATCTCATTTAAACTCAAAAAGTTTCAACCCAAATGCCATATCATCCCTTGGGAAAGGAGTATTACATTAATTTGTTCAGTGGGGTTCACTCATCCCACATTAATTTGAGGGATGACATGTATTTGAATTTTAACTTTTTGATTTTATTTGAATTATGTAACATTTTTCAAACAAGAAATATGTAGATTTGTCTATCCAACACTTTTGGCCCTATTAACCTTTGAGGTAGTTTGGTTTATATATACATATATCTTTTTCATTTGCCCCTTGGCAAAGTCATGACTTCTCAAATAAAATGCATATGGATTTTTGGTAAAAATGTATCAGTTAGAAGTATAAATATTTAAATTGCATCATTTTTAATAGTTTAAATTTTTAGAATACATCGTTGTTTAACATAATAGTAAAGCAGAAAATCCTGTGTTCGAATCTTGCTGGCACCCAAATTATTAAAATAAAATTTATTATGATTATGACATATTGAATTTTGTTTGAACGAAATTACGAGTAAGGCTGATAGTTGAATGATCTTGAACGAGTTTGAGCTGAGTCTGAAAAACTTGTTTTCTTAAATGAATCTAAAAAATTGTTTAAATTTGTCTCATTCAAAGAACGAGCCGATCTTGAATGAGCCCAAAATGAGTCAAACCTAGGTAAGCCTGAATATTTATACACAAACGAGTCGAGTTTGTCGGGTTTGAGGCGAATCTACAAAATTATTCAAATTTGATTCATTTAAAACACGAGTCGAATTTGAACGAATCAAAAACAAACTAAACCCGAATCAAACTCAAATTGCTTAGTTTGATTAAGAGCACTAAATGCGAGCTTCTCATGCTCTTCAATCATGTTACTCCATTACACCTCACTTCTAACCATTAAGATGAGTGGATTTGATGAGTGAAAAAATCTAGTTAAAAAAATGAACCACTGGTTTAACTATTACCAATAACTAGTATAAATTATTAAGCACCAAATCACCTTTCTCGCGGTATCCATCATGAAAATGAATTTTTAGAATATTTCTTACGTCTTCTTTGATTTTTTCAAGAAAAAACAAAATGAATAGAAAATCCAAAAAAATAAAATCTTAGATACAAAAAATATATCTATAAATATGTTATAACTGATTTTTTTTTTTGCTATTGTATTTTGTAACTGATTAAATTAGGAAGAAAAAAGACAAATACTCCTTAAAAAAAACAAAATGAAACTAAAAAATAAAAAAAAGACACACCACTTTAAAAAAGTTAAAAAAAAATACATAAAAAATAATTATCATACACTGCATTATGCTCCATGTACCAATTTCTATTTTACCAAACTCTACAAAATACTTATCGGCAACTAAGTATCTGTATATGTCAAAACTTTTCGAACATTGTTCAATATATATGAAGACATATTCCACTAATAGAATTTGAATCCGATTCAATTCTGATTATCTCAAATGTTGATATATCAAAATACGAATATGTGAAGTATAGTTCCATATATTCAACTTAAAATAATTGGTGATAATTCAGGTCAAAATTTCATTCATTTGCAAGCCTACTAGCGTACACTATAAAGTGCACCCAAGTTGAAACATAAAGCTTTTCGCATGGAAGACTCGGGTGGCGAAATGCCAAAAATTTATGAGCTTGGAATTACATTGGTAAAGGTAAACCCATTTGAGATTGTAGCAAATCCTTCAATCACAAAAGAAATTGTTGAATCTGAAAAACCTTCGAAAGGCAGATTGTATTATGTCTGCGAGACTAAAGGTTGTTGCTTTTTGGGCTTAGTGTATTCCGACCACTGCAACATGGATGCCTAGTGTAGTTGCTGCTTTTCCTCCAAATGAGTAGCTGTTTGATAGACAAATTTTTGAAGGTGCTGAGCGTTAAACTGTCTTAAGCACAAGGTTGATGATGCTTGAAGATACAATGAAGATGAAGGTGAAGGCAGGGCTATTTGTCTCTACGTTTTTTATGTTTATCAACCTGTTGGTGTTGGCTATCAAATGAGTTATATTGGCAATGTATGTATGCTATCTATGTAATCAATGAAGTCCAGATTTCATTAACTTGAAAGACAAAATAGCAAGTTATTTGCGGTGCCCTCCTTCCCCTTTTATCTCTCTCATCGTCTTTAGATCCTTCCATATCGCTGCATTTACAAAAACGTCTGCCATCACATAATTACTTGGATTGTTAGGTTCGAGCTCAAGCAACCATTTTGCAATGACCTCTGCAAGAGAAACATTGCAGCAAAGGTGGTACGAAGAGTAATAAACCCCACCAGCTTTTCAATAACTGTAGTGCTTTCCCGATTCTCCCAGCTCTACCTTATATATCCAATGAACAAGCATGGTGATCTCAAGTAGCATTCAACCAGAACGCAACTCCCATTCTACCAAAGAATGCAGTAGAACACACGTTTTGCAATCAATTTCATCCTCTGGCCACCCAGCTAAACCCCATACCCACTTTTTGCATCCTCGTAAAAGTTTTAAAAGCCTCAAAGACTATCTTTTCGAACAAACCCGGCAATCAATGAGTTCCAATAAACAAACATCTCTTTGTGGCATATTTTCAAACATCATAAATACATCTCCCCAATACCCAAACAAACGGATTGCCTTGAGTGCCAAAGAGCCTCATCGGCTTAGTCACAAATGGAGTAGAATGTATCCTCGGATTCTATCAGTCATGAGCTTGGATCCCAATATTTGGTCGTTGACAACAACGCACTTGCACCAAATTTCAGACCCAAGTGCCAATGAAATAAATAATGGACTTATAAATGTCAAACCCCACTATTAATCCAATATTTAAAAAAAATAAAAAAATACATCCTCTAAATTCGAATAGCATTGCTTAGGAGGTTGTGGTGAGCTTTATCTCTTGATTGGTGGAGTTGGAGGGAGAGTCTTTGGCCGTATTCTAAGGATTTGGAATGGAAGGGTTTTGAGGAGCTAACAACAGAAACCGAGTAAAGACTCTGACCTTATCCTATCAAGAATCACTTGCAATGTGTCAAATGTACCAACAAGAAACTAATAACTATTATCAACCACCAACGTTGATTTATCATTTCATGTTATTCACGGGCTTCATTTCCTTCTCTATGCATTTCTTTAACAAGAAACCTTATCCTAGAAAGGCTTCTTCCCGGATCCATAGTGATCAATGCTTAACAACGAGTCAATATAACTGCAGGTACTAAGTACACCAAAATCATATGGGTTCTTTCCCCAGTGATACTAGGTAGAGAGAGAGAGAGAAACGGGTAATTACACTCGTTGAATTGTTGTTAATGCCCACTATTCGTAAATTTCTCACCATGTCATAAATTCTCTTTATGATTACTGAAAGCCAATAATGACCAGATAATTACATACTAACAGGTTTAAAACCAAGATCTATAGAATTATTTACAGCATCCATTACCAATTGAGTCACTCTGCTAATCTCAGGCCATTTGCCATCTGGTTTGCAGCCCGAATGTTTAATGCTCTTCACCAGTTCCACAAAGTCCTGAACCATCATAGCCTCTTGTGGAAGCTCAGAATTTACTTATAACTTTCTTGGGTTTTACATTCCAACCAATGTGGAGATCCAAAAACTTGGCACCAGATGTGAACTCTAATGAAGCAGAAGTCTCTTTGAAAGGAATTATGAAGTCCTCCAGATGAAGCGATCCATTAGAGCCTGAGATTGCCAAGTCCATGGATTCGTTTGAAAGGAAAGAGCAGTAGAAGGTCGCAGTTGTTTGTTCTTTGTCCCAGTGTAATGAGGTGCTGCAGGATAGGATGTTATTGGTAAATTTCTCCCTCATCCACCAGGTTTACAGAGATCAATCGATATTGGCTTCAGGTCTTATGAAATTACTCTCCCTGTCTAGAAAACTATGAGACCACATCCTGAGCAGACACAGCTGCCATGACATACACTAAAAACTATGCTGCCTTACCAAACACCATTACCATATGCTATGCAGCACCCTTTTAATGAATCAGAATAAAAAGGGAAAAAGTCCTTAGATCAGTTAGGTGGAAAAACAGAACCATCCTACATCCTTAAACTACAACCCCAATCTCACAGCACTCCTCCACTATTGAGTTCCCCACATTGTCCCAGAATCAAATGCTTGTTACAATTTTAACAAAAAATATCCTCGCGCCGCTAGATTTTGAGACAAACAAAAAGACAATCGCATAGTTGGAGGAGCTAGTAGAGTAACACAACTTTCCATCAAATTTCTATCAAACTTCTATAACAGAGAAAACAAGGAACTAGTAATCATATTGAAACATCTAAACTATTGATTTGACAATACTTCCCCCACAATGAACAGAAAAAAAAAATACCACGTCAATTTACTCGTTCATGCTATCATTCTGAGCTTCCTCCTCACTTAGATCAAGATCTGCAAGCAACTCCTCTAAAGGTATCGAAGGAACATCCTCCTCGTCAGTCATGGAGGCCATTTCTGATGGTTGGTATTCTTTATTCTGGTACAAGGATATATTGAACCTCATGTCAGGGTTCTCCTCCAAGTCTCTCAAGAACTGTTCGTATTCTGAGCTCCTCTTCTCTTCATCAGTAGCTTTAGCAGAGTCCTCGACTTCCATGTTAAGAGATTTAAGCTTCCATGCACGCGGTTTCCCCCGCTTCTTCTGGCGCTTCTCTTCATAGCTCTTCTTTATTAGAATCACATCTGGAATAACAAGACCTTTGTACTTGTCCAATTCAATATCATTGCTGTTAGCCCTATATAAGTCATAACCAATAGCATAATCCCCAGGATTTAAAATATGACCTAAATGTGTTCTTACGGTAAACAGTGTATCATTCTTCCCAAAATCTGCTACACGAGCTACTTGGGCATCGGCTAAAACATACTTTGAACCACCAACATTTATTTCAGAAGAAACAGGCTCCACATCTAACACGATATATTCCATAATCTGCCTACTCGAAAGCAGGGACTTAAAAGCTGTCCTCCAATATTGGTCAGCATCCATGAAACAGTGCCTCAGAGTAAAAAGGTCCAGCAAAGCAATGGTGTTACTCACCTTCGTGCAGATCACAAGTGGACCAAGATTTCCCAAACTAACTGCAACCTTTGGAGGTAGACAAATCAGATCCTCACGACAAATTGGGCAGATTTCAACAGAAAAGGTGTACTTATAATTGTAATTATTGCTCTTGGTATCATGCGATACAAGTTGTTTGTCATGACGACTCTTAATTGGAGCAACTTTACCCAGGAACTCTACAAACTTCACAGCATGACTCCGATTAGCAAAAAAGAAATCAACTCCCTGATCCATCTGCTTGATTCTTATGGCACGGACAGCGGCATCATGCTTAAGAATAAGTTGTTCTAAATAGAAGAAAGTTCGCCGGTGAGAAACGTGCTGACGTAGTTGCACTGCAGCCACCCATTGGTCAGGGTTGGCTTGAACCCTAGTACAAGATTCACACATTTGGTCTTGCACTACATACTCAACAGTATAAGCTTGTTCTAGTATTGCCCCATTAAGCACCTCCTTTTGAACTCTCAGCCTAACTTTGATCCTCTTTGAGTGAGGTTCGGTCCATATAAATTCCGCATGTACTAAATGGATTTTATTCAAATTCTTCAATCTCTTCACACAAAATGTCAACAGCTCCTTTGATTCTAGTTGGGCTTTGATCCAAGTTCTTGGTGGCTGCAAATAGGTATCACATTCGGGGCAGTGAATGATGATAACATGCTTCTGCAAACCTTCTGTGATATCAATTTCAGAACGCAGACATTTCACACACATATTGGCAGCATTTGGTGCCATCGGAACACCACATTTGCAGCACAAAACACTGCCAATGGTTTGCTGAACCGTGAACATACCTGCTTCTTGAGCCATTGCTGTTTACCTGTTCACCGAAAAAAAAGAATAAGACCATCTAAAACAAATCATAATATTTGTAAAAAAATAAAAAAAAACAATTGGTAAAGGTTAACTTTTTAACTGAAAATGAGCAAAAATGACTTTCTCGACCCAAGAGCAGTTCTACCCTTGTCACTCAATATCTGAAGTGTCAATTTGTAAAAGTAAAAGAAAGAACAATAAAGGACTCGTACATCTTCAGCAAAACTAACAAAATCTCAGCGATTGGGACTTTGCCATTCACATTATTCAAGGACAGGACAAAATTGTCAGGGTCTCACACGTATGTATACACAAACAGAAAACATACAGTTCCATTTTTTATTCAAGGACAGGACAAAATTGTCAGGGTCTCACACATGTATACACAAACAGAAAACATAAAGTTCCATTTTCCTTTTCATTCAACAACAAGGAGCTCCACAACAGACCGTGTCAAGGTGGGCTTCCTCGGAAGCCCCAAGTTCAGATAATGGACCAAAGTCCTAGTTTTGCACTGCATATGGCATACAAAGGGAGATAAAAAAGAGGCTTCTCCCTCACATTCTGTCCATTTTCTAACGTTTTCACCAAATATCAATATATATCCCCACCTGATAATATTACAAGATTCCAAGAAAAAATTGACCACACAAGAAATTATCAAACAGTTTTACAACGGATAAAGATAAGGACTTCACCTTCGGACATATACACCTTCATTTATGTTACATATAAGAATATAAACAACACAAAAACAATTGACCATCAAATACTTCAATTCAACAATTTTGAAAATGATTATTTTATTCACTAGAAACCGCCAATTGAAATTCTTAAATCAATTTTACATACAAAAGTGAACACAGAACACATATATGCTGTTACGATCCCACTTCGGTTAAAAATAAGACTAGATATGTGTATATAAACTTTTGGGCACCGCTCCTTGCAAGATCCCACACCATAGATCAGAAAAACTACTTCTATTCGGATTCATAACCATTGAACTGAGCGAGTGGAAAAAAAAAGCACACAAAAACGAAGACTGATTAGTTTACCTTGATGGAGAGACCTTCAACGACGAAAACGAAGACTGGAGCTGCTGCTTTTGGCGTCGTTGGGCTGTGACAGGAGGGAGAGAAAGAGAGAGAGAGGGGGGGGGGAGGGAAGCGGGGGTCGACGAAGAGGCAAAAGGTTAGGGTTTGGGAGATCTTTGATATTTATAAGGGGTATATCATTACTAGAAGTGATCTTATATCATTACTGATGGCTGTCATTTTCTTTAGTCCCTTTGATTCCACTAGGACTCCAACTCCATAATAGGGGGTTTTCCAGTTTCAGTTCTAATTGGAGGCCCCCCAATACGTTGCATTGCTTCATGAAACTTGTATATGACCTACTTTCGGCTGAGGACCGTGAAGGAAATATTGAGAACACATAAGGACCCATTCTTGTCGAATTAAGTGCAAAAGTCTACATTTAGCAAGCATACCCCAACCAATACATCAGTGGAGTTTGCAACTAAAAGTCAGCATTACAAAGAAGAGGCAGCTTTACAACACAAAGCAGATCTAGATCAAGCTCGAGGGGCTGGAAGGTGCCAATTGTGAAAAACTCTAGCATTTTGAGAGCTGCCCCTAATTGTTATAATTAGTAATCTATTGCGAACTACATTACTAATTGTGCAGAACAATGAGTTTGTATCTCTAGATTCGTTTCTTAATATTCTAGAATTCCTCTCCCAAAGTAAAAAAAAAAAGAAAGCTGAATGATTGATTATGAGCCTCTGGGTTTGATGACATGTTGCAAATTTCCTTTGTTACTGAAAAAATACTGGATCTACCATGCCATGACGAATGATTATGAAGTTGGTGTGCACAGTAGCTATAAGAGGAGACCAAGCAAGCATAGTGAATAGTCTTGAGGGAAAAACTGCCTTATTCTACGCCTACCAGTTATGCGCTGTGAATGAGATCTTTTTGCATCAGGTCCGAAGACTGGAGCTGCTACTTTTGGCGTCGTGGGGTTGTGACAGGAGGGAGAGAGGGGGGGGAGGGAAGCAGGGGGTCGACGAAGAGGCGAAAGGTTAGGGTTTGGGAGATCTTTGATATTTGTAAGGGGTATATCATTACTAGAAGTGATCTTATATCATTACTGATGGCTGTCATTTTCTTTAGTCCCTTTGATTCCACTAGGATTCCAACTCCATAATAAGGGGTTTTCCAATTTCAGTTCTAATTGGAGGCCCCCCAATACGTTGCATTGCTTCACTCTGCATTCTGCAATATCTGATTTTTTATTTGTATTTTGTTTAAAAAATTGAATATACATTGAATCTTTTATTGATTTGATATTTGGTTTGTACACAATCTGATTTTAGGTTTGTATTTTATACATTGAATGATTGAATGAGGTCACTGATTTTATATACATTGATTTTGGTGGTTCGTATTTTATACATTGAATGAATGATTGAGGATTTGTATTTTATAATTTATACATTGAACACACAATAGGGAAGATTTGTCTTTTATAAATGGTGATGAAGCCAACTAATTTTTGGTTTGTATTTATATATTGAATACTATAAATTGATCTCTCGCCTATTTCAACATTAATCACATTATCCATTTTAAATATTATGCAATTAATTAAGAGAAAATTGTTTGATCAATTGAATAGATTAGGAAAAAAAATATTATATTGCTAATGGTTATGGATTAAGCTTGAGCACATTGGGCAAATCGATTAATTGAGTAGATTAGGATGGTCTTAAGCTTTCATAGAGGTATTAACTTTAATAGTTATATTTGAAATTGAATGCATTGAAAACATGTTTGATGATTTTGGAATTTTTGTTTGATCTAATATTCATCAAGCATGCTATTTTCATAGTTATTATGATTTTTTAGCCTATTTATTATTATTAATAATTATTTTTTACTTTTTTAATATATTACCAGTCCGACCAATAACCCAAAGGTTGAACACCCATTGACCCGATCTCTTTCCCGGGTTTATGTCCAGTCCGCTTTTTAAAACTATGTTTCCTACTACTCATATTTTTCCTTAGAATCTCTTTATTTTTTTTGGAAGGTCAATAGAATCTCTCTTACTAAGAAAGAAACTACACTTGGTGCAAGAAGATTGTGGATATTAAGGATGTGATAAATTCCATAATTGCATGCTAAAAAAATGTTTTCCCTTTTATAAACAAATGGCCACACAAATCAAATGGTAGTAAGAACGAAGTACAGAACACCACATCAAATGTTTTCACGCCTTGTTTCATTCAAAAACATTAAAAAAAAAATCAGAGGAGAGGACTGGATTATCCTTCTTAGGAATACTTGGGCAGAACAACACGAAACAAAAAAAAAAGTGTAACATCCCAGATTCTCGTTCAAGAAAAGTTTTTCCAGTTAAATACAATTTGTTCTTTCATCAAAAAAAAAAACTATACAATAATCTAAAATCAAACCTTCCAAGCCAGATTTGTTGAAAACTCCTTGGATTATCTGAAGTCGTGTCCTTTTGATGTCCCAAATGATATCTCCAAAACAAATGCTAATAGCCCCTATTTTTGGCATGAGAGAGAAGGGAAGGGAGGAGAAAGAGACAATAGAACACAAAATTAGTGGATCGGATCAATTCATAAAAATTTGTTTTACATTAAAAAACAAAAATTAAATAAATAAATAAAAGAGAAGCAAATATCAAACCTTCCAAGCCAGATCAAACGATGCCCCAAATGAAATCTCAAAAAATATACAATGAAATCACCAAATCAAATATCAACCTTGGCGAGATAGAATAGACAGACAGACGGAAGACTTTTGGAGAGGGAAGAAGGGATGAGAGGAGCGGCGAGGAGAGATGTAATAGGGTTACAAAGTTATCGATAAAGTTTGGGAGAATTATATTGAGAACCCATAGGGGGTGTTTGGATACCCATGGGAGGATTGGGTTGGATTGGATTTGAATCCGAATCCAATCCAACCCAATGAAGAGTAGTCCGGATTGATTCATTCTTATCCCATCCTATCCTTACTTTGGATAGAGAATAATTGTTTTATGGACCTCATTCACATGTCTAAATAAAAATTGATGAAATGACCATTACACCCTTTAGAAAAAAATATAATCTAACCCTATACCAACTTTAGGTGAGTATGGCGTCAAACATTGATAAGGATGAACGGGTACTTGAAAATAGTAATATAATAAAAAAATCAACTCCATAAAATAAATTATACTTATTTTGTCAAAATTTTTGTTTTTTGGTTAATTTTTTTTATGAGCATTGTGCAACACTGAATTCATCACAACATATTACATTTTTTTTAGAAAGAATGATTTTATTGCATTCGGTAAAAATTACAAGTAAAAGGGATCAGTTTCACCTCACCCTTACAAATCAAATACAACAAAGAATAAAATCTAAAAGCACCTCTCCTTTCTAGATCCTTATACAGCTACAACTCTCAGCTAAGGATTCATCACCAAAGCTATGCTCTTCCTGAAGGCAGGAAATTCACATCTATCCTATAGCAGCCAACATCTTTATAACAAAAGCCTGAAGCCTCAAGCAATTGAGAATCAACAAAAAAATAGCATGAGAATTCATTTTTACACCCTCAAACCTCCCTCTGCACCTCTTCTTCCAAAGCTGCCAATAGACAATCCAAGGAACAACTCTAATTAACCCCTAGCTCAAACAACTACATGGGATCTCAATAATACATATCAATTCAATTCATTTTACTTATGTTCAAAAAAAAATTCATTTTACTTACTAATCTAAACAAATCTCTAAACAATATCACAATGGTCAATAACATAAATAAGAATTCTTCTAACAATCAAATGCAAAATACATGTACAAAAGTATGCAAAGGGCCCAATTCACAAAACTCTAAACCAGTCCACAATTAAGGAGAATACATCGGAGTATATGTTTGTTGAAATACACAAACAAATTAACGAACTAGTAGCCCCATTACTGG